GCTGACGTCGATGATTAAATTTTTTTCCTAAATTTGGTTATTTGACACTTTAACTGACTAATTAATTAACTTGACTACAAAAAGATAAGTACTTTTGAATTAGTAGAAAAAGGTATATATACACACATAACTTCGTTAGTAAAAATATTGCCAAAGAACTTTCAGTTATTGCAAATTTTTTTTTACTTAAAAATTAACAGCAACAACAACTTGAAGAATTCTGAACGGCCACCGAGGAAATTCACCTCGAGAATAGTTTCAAAAGATGTAACATACAGGGATGTTCTCCAAACGAAAACTGATGACGGTGGCACGAGCAACAAAACAAGGGCCAGTGACGTGAATGTTTTGTATAAAATGCAAAATATGGTGCAGAACATGCTAGATATGATGCACAAAATCTCTCAGAGATTGAGTATTTTAGAGAGCGAAGGGAAATAATCGAATACCAAAAGACCTGGTAAATGATGGCACGAGGTAATTTTAAAATAGCAACATGGAATTGCAATGGCATTGCAAATAAAAAGGACATGCTTGAAGTTTTTCTGCATACACAGAATATAGACGTGTGCCTCGTAACTGAAACACATATGATCTTAAGAAGCAGGATTCGGTTTCCAGGTTATAGAATTTACAACTCGACCCATCCTAGAAATATAGCGAAGGGCAAGAAAATGTGGTACATTGCGATCTGCACCAGATGCAAACCGAGGGAATGCAAATGACAACGGTTCAGATCACTTCGACTAAGCAGAAATTTAGAGCGGCTGGAGTATATTGTCACCCTAGATTTAAAATTACGGCAGAAATGTTTCAATGCGTTCTGACAGACCTGGGCGATAGAATTATTGTGGGGGTGACTTTAACGCCAAGCACACTGATTCAAGGTGTTCAAGGCATACTTCAACTAGAGGAAGAGAACTTAGGACAGCAATTGGCGCACGGGGTGCCTTTTTCACTCTACTGCGAAACCAACGTATTGGCCAACCGATGTTAATAAGTGTCCAGATTTAATAGATTTCTTCATAACGAAACCGATTGCAAAAAATTTCATCGAGGTACATGATAACTACGATCTTGACTCCGATCATTCGGTGGTTATTCTTGTACTTAAGGAAAATATAGTTATGAAAAGAGAGAAACCTGCGCTGACAAATGGAACTACAGATTGGTAAAGATTTCGCTTAGAGATTGAACGACAAATAGATCTAAGGAAAAGATCCAGCACATAGATGAGGAGGCCGAAAACTTTACTAAAATTATTATTACTAAAAACTTTACTAAATACCAATTGTCAGGGAAAGAGATATTATAGGAGAAATTAGGGCTCTTAAACCTAGGAAGGCTCCAGGATTTGACCTAATAACGGCCGATATTTTGAAAGAATTACCCAAAAGGGGTATAACGATGCTTACGCGCCTAATAAATGCGTGTATAAGGTTCAATTACGTGCCTGAAATTTGGAAAGTTGCAGAGATAATCATGCTGCACAAACTTAGCAAACCTATAGATAGGCCGACTTCTTATAGACCAATCTCTTTGTTGCCAATGATTTCAAAACTACTAGAGAAACTTTTATTGAGAAGACTCCAACCTATAATTGAAAGTAAAAGGTTAATCCCGAATCATCAATTTGGTTTTCGCCGCAACCACTCAACCATAGATCAGATTCATAGAATAACTGACCTAATAGAAAATTCACTCGAAGAAAAAGCAGTATGTTCTATCATATTTTTGGACGTAGCCCAAGCCTTCGATAAGGTTTGGGATTGTGGATTAATAAAAAAACTTAGGTGATTACTACCAAGGCAGTATGTTGACCTGCTCGAATCTTACCTGACTAATAGGGTATTTCGAGTTAAACAGGAAGAGGAGTACTCTTCGCTTAAGGATATCAAGTCGGGGGTACCACAGGGGAGTATATTGGGCCCGATATTATACTTGCTATACACGTGTGATATTCCTGAATCGGAAGGAGTGACAACAGCTACATTTGCTGATGATACAGCAGTTATCGCAATTGGACGAAATGAAAATGATTCTACACAAAAATTGCAAAAGGGCCAGTGATGAGATCTCAAAATAGACTACAAAGTGGAATATAAAACTTAACGAGGTGAAATCAGTACATGTAAATTTCACTAATAGGAAAATTGACAATTCATTTTCGGTTCAAATATGTAAATGACGTCTTGATTCCGTCCGCAAACACGGCGAAGTATTTGGGAAGAAGCACATAAAGAAAAATAGATCTCAACTAGAGGAGGAATGCAGAAAGTTTGAATGGCTTTTGGGGAGACGTTCTAAATTGACAATATACAACAAAGTTTTGATATATAATCAAATATTTAAGCCTGTCTGGGCTTACGGTATTAAGTTGTGGGGCTGCGCTGCGCAGACTCATATCCAATCTATACAAAGATTTCAAAATAACGTATTACGGGACATTGTAAACGCCCCTTGGTATGTCCGTAATGCCGATATACACAGAGATCTCACGATTCTAAGTGTTACAGACGAAATTAAAAAGCAAGCAGTCAATCATAAAATGCGTTTATCCAATCATGTCAACATCGAGGCGGCTCGATTGGTTGACAATCAAAACTTTGTTAGGAGACTTAAACGTACGAGACCACTCGAGTTAGTTTAAAGTTTTTTTATCTGGAACAATTAGTACTTAGTACACTATTGTGCCAGATCAAAAGCTTGTAAATAATCAAAAAAGTAAGAGCAAAATTAATGGTTAGTCGTTCCGACTAGTTTTATAGTTTATTTTGAGGAGGGTGTTTTTTAGTGGATTAAAGTTCCACACTACTGCTTTTCGTCTGGCAGTGTCTTTCGAGATTTTTCACCATTCCTCTCGGTAAAAAAAAAAAAAAAAAATATAGTTCAACTGAAAATTTTTTTCAAGAATAATAATCAATAATGTTTTTGGGTGACTGAGGAAAACACAAAACGAAATTGGAGCCCAAATGTAAACGGAGGAGCTGGGGACACAAATTTTAAAATCGGAGCCAAACGGCAGCCGGGTTTTCAGTACTGTATAACATTAAAATGTTGAAGGCAAAGGTTGCGCTTGCTCCACTTTTTACATGTATTTTAAGAATTTTAAACAATTGTGGAAGAAAAAATTATTATATTTAATTGGTTTTTAAAATATAACTTCAGAATTTTATGCTTTATAGTAAATATGAATTTATTTTGTTTTTTCTTTTCCAAAAATAGCTATTTCGAATTAAAAAAACCCATGTAAAATAAGGTTGTTCTTTCAAGTGTCTCTCTTACCATTGGAACTTGTGAGATATAAAGATATTAGTATGTATAGCATTAATTTATTGAAATCTTAAAAAAAATTTATAGAGTCTAGAGGGTTTTTATAAAAACAATATTTTAATGTTAACACAAAACAACAGAAACGTTACCACTAACAAAATAAAAAAAAATTTAATATTCCCCTCTATTATGTATATCGGTATCGGCCGATAAACGATAATTTATCGGCAAAATTTTGTGTTTGTATTACCAACATTGTTTATCGGTAAATTTTATCGGAGTCGGGAAAGCTTTTTTTCACTGTATAGAAAACGTATTAGCTGGTATTATGAAAACGATAAATTGTCGGGTTTTCCCCGATTTAAAAGCGGGTACAAATTTTTAAACGACAGATTTTTTTTTTTTTGTAAAATCTTCATTTTATCAAGGAAACTGGTGTAATTGATTGCTTTTTTTAAAATGTAAGCATTTTTTCTAAATTATTTTCTTTCAAAATGTTATTCATATATTTTATTTAGGAGTAAAATCGTAAGCAACAAAAAACAAATTGCGCGGTTAGTAGAAAAAATGGAAGAGGACTTAAACCTGGCAAGGAATGATAATCTGAAATTCTGGATAAACCTAAAAAATGTGTACATATTATATATGTAAATAATAAAATAAAATAGGTACATAAACATACATTTTGTTGTCTAAATCCAATGGATTAGTTGAATCTCTTATATGTCGTCTTTGAATAGCTTGCGTTTCTTCACTTACTACCGTTTCTTCACTTTCAAAATATAATGCACGCGACATTTTCCCGATATATGTATATTTTTATTTTACAAATTTAACAGAAAATAATTTGCTTACAACAACTTTTTAGCACATCAAAACCAAATTCAAAATAGTTTTAAAAATTTTTTGAAAATAACTTTTGAAAGAAAACAAATGTCATTAGAAAAAAAAAAAACTTTTTCTCCAATTTACAAAAACAAAAATTTGTATGAAAAAGCTTCTTTTAATCGGTTGAAATATTTTTATCGGTATCGGTTCATAATACAGAAGAAACTTAAAACCGATTAGAACTGCCGATAATATATCGGCCGATACCGATGTTCATAATAGAGGGGATTAACTTTTTCTCACTAAAAATTTGAAAAAAGTTAGTCTTGTGTCAGTTTTATGATGTTAAAAAGGGCCCGTTACAGCTCTCATAAGAATGCATATGTACATATAACTTCACCAGCTGCGATATGACATTCTCTCTTTTAATCCAGTCAGATCTTTGTTTTTTGTCAGCCATAGTTATAAGTTCGTGAAATGCAGACACAACAAAATGAAATTTTGACGTGAATTTTTTTATATTCAATCATTTTTGAATTCGATTACCCAGTTAAAATTCTGTTTTCAAGATTTATTTATTTTTGTATTCTTGCCTTTGTTTCACATTAGCTGTGAAAATTAAAATATAAAATAAAACATCGTTACTGTTACACCACATGAGACAAAGCAAAAATTAAGCACGTATATACATATTTCTATATATTAGAATCCTCATCATCTGCACATTTTTTTGGCATAACAAACTGCACTAAACTTCGCGAAGTTTGTGCATATAAAAAAAACAGGCCTTGATGTATTTTTTATGTCAAGAAAAATTTTAAAAGATCAGGTGATAAAAAAGTGTATGGTATGTATGTATGTATGTCGTGTATTTGTAATATTTTTATTCCGCAACTGTATCAGATTTACTTTTGTAAGTAATTTATTAAAAATACCAAAAATATGTATGCACATATGTACGTATGTTCATATATATAATATGTATTTAATAAATAATAAAATCTGGATTCCTCTTTTTTCTTGAATATTTCAAACCCAAATGGTCTCCAATTTCATCTATAACATTTAAAGCATAATCAAGTTGTTCTTTGGTATGAGCAGCGGACAAGCAAAATCTTATTCGTCCTTCCATAATGGGAGTGGCTGGAAATCCTACTCCAACAACAGCAATATGACGAGTAGTTAATGTGCGAACAACAGCTCTAAAAAGAAAAAAATAAACTAGTGACTTCTAATTATCCCTGACATAATATTGCGTTAATATGGAAATACATTGTACTTGAGCTATGTACACACATATGTTATGCGTTATTAAAAATTTATATAAAGTACACAGTTACTAGTTTGCAAAAACTGAATATTTTTTGATTTGTAATATGCTCGATAATTGGGAGTTTTTGATAATGCAAAATGGCTTTCGCATTTGTATAAAGGCTACATTTTCAATTAAATTCCCAGCAAAAAATTGGGAGGAGAGGGGGAGATAGAGAGGCTAAGATGTTCTCGTTTTCGAGCTATTGAAAAAAACGTAGATGAGCCATAGTTTTCGAGATACAGCTCATCAAAGTCAGAATTTTTTATTTTTTGTTAAACTCGAAATTTTTCGAGAACTTTTGTTGTTTTTTTGGTTTGGTAATGTATTTTTTTTATGTACCTCTTTTTTTCAACAAGGTATACCTCAAAACGAGTTTATCTGCACACCATTAAATTTTGCTCTCCCCATTAAATTTTGTACTGGAAATTGATCTAAGAATCATTGCTGAAATTATTTGTCACCTTATACCGTGTGTATTCTTTACCACTTTCATACTATATTCTAATAAAAATTTGAATTTTGAAAAAATTTTTTTTCTAAACAAATCTTACAAATTTATCAACATTTTGTTGATTGTGGTCTAGGGAAAATTTAATACTTGATAATTTTCATAAAATTTTTGTTTAAAAAAAATCGTTTTTCAAAATATAATAATTGTTGTTTAAATAAAAATATAATATTCGCTGGCAAGTGTAATAAGCAAAAAATTTTCTATAATGAAAAATTTATTTGTTTTGCTTGCTTTTTTAAGTTGAAAAAGTGTAGCCGTAACAATATAAAATGAAAAGAAAAATATTGATCGCGCGTTACAGTCAATAAAATTTTTTTATTTTCTAAATAAGTGTAATGCAAAAGAATATACATAAGTGATAAATATTATTAAATTAAAAAAAATTGTCATTTTATATTGACGAGGAGAAAAAATGCTTGTCGAAGTTTTTTCTGAACAATTCACATAAGTGAGCATTTTGTACTTTTTCTTTTTTATTTCATCTAATATGATTTGGTTTGAATAGTCTGTAACATAATAAACAACATTGCAACTAACTTTATTACCTTATTATCACGCTTATTGTAAATCTGACTCGTAGCACTGAAATTCGGAGAAATTACGATTTCCGAAGTAGAAATGAATTACGAATTAGATATTAAATCATGCTCGTAATAAAAATAAACGTCAAAATTCTACCAGTGAAATTTTAAAACGCAACGAGAAAAAATAGAGTTGACGTTGTCAACTCTGTAATACCCGTTCGAAATTGTTATCCTATGTGCGAATAAAGATGCCATAACTGCCATATTATTTTGTGCAAAATTTCAGTACAATGAGTTTTTCAAAATACTGTGTGTGCCAAACTACTATTGAAGTTGTATGGCAGCTACCAGAAAGAGCCAAGAAATTTTAAGGAATTTGTCAAGCACATTGGCCCTATTAATATATTTACTTGTGTGAAATTTCAATACCACAGCTTTTATAGTTTCTGAGATATAGCCAAATAACTTTTGAAGTTAAACGACAGCTACCAGAAGGAGCCAAGCAATTTCAACGACTTTTATCAAACACATTGGTCCTATTAAAATATTTCCTTGTGTGAAATTTGAACACCATAGCTTTAATAGTTTCTGAAATATAGTCAAATAAGTTTTGAAGTTGTATGGCAGGTGCCAGAAGAAGCAATTTCAACGACTTTTATCAAACACATTGACCCTACTAATATATTCGCTTGTGTGAAATTTCAATACCATAGCTTTTATAGTTTCTGAGATATAACCAAATAAATTTTGAACTTGTATTGCAACTACGTGAATCGGTACCCCAATCATGTCCAATTTAAATAGGGTTCTGGCACTTACTACAATAAATCATTTGTGAAAATTTGGTGAACTTAGCTCAATTAGTTTTTGAGTTATCGTTGGGAAGGACGGACGGACTAAATCAACTCAGAATTTGACGCTGATCGAAAACATACACTTGAATCTATATCTAAGACCATTATTTCATAGCGTAACAAACGGTAAGGCAAATTTAGTATACCCTTCGAGCATTTTCTGAAGTAAAAAAAATCGCTAGGATTTGATCTGACGAAGCACTGTAACATTTGCTGAAAATCATGAATACAGCTATGGATTTTGAGTATGTCCTGGTGTTTGGAAAGTCGCAGAAGTAATTATGATGCCTAAACCCGGGGAATTCTTAAGGAAAACAACGTCTTACAGCCCCATTTCACTGTTATCAATGATGTTTAAGCTTTTTGAAATTTTTAAGGAGATTGAAGCAAATAAAAGGAAACAGGGGCCTCACACCAAACCATCAGTTTGAATTGAGAAGAAAGCATACTACAATAGTGGTCCATAGAATAAGGAATATTATAGAAAAAAGCTTAGAAAGTAAAGAAATCTGCTATTCTATATTTCTAGACGTAGCACAGACATTCGACAAGATAGCGTACAAAAGTCTTATATTTAAGTAAGGAAAAATGGCACCATCACCATTTGTAGCAATTTTGGAATCTTACTTAGCTGATAGACTATTTAGAATTGAACAAGATGCTGAATACTCCACGCTAAGAGAAATAAGAGCAAATGTGCCTCAAGGCAGTATATTGGGCCCAACGTTGTACTTGCTTTACACGGGTGATCTACAACAAATATAAAATGCTACGGTAGCCACTTTTGCTGACGATATTGCCATATTGGCAGTAGGATCGAACATTGATGATTCGACAAATAAATTACAGGAGGCAAGTTACAAAATAAGCCAGTGTAATAAAGATTAAGTTGAATGAAGCAAAATCGGTTCACATAAATTTCACCAATCGAAAAATAGTTAATCCATCCCAAATTAACCTAAAATGGAACGAACGCAGCCATCCATAACTCTGCAAATACCTAGGAATGATTTTGGATGTCAAGCTAAGGTGGAAAGAGCATATAAAGAACAAACACACAGAACTAGAAAATAAATATAGCGAAAAATTTATTGGCTCCTAGGTTGTAACTCCAATTTGGCAACTGATAATAAAGTATTGATTTATATCCAAGTTATTAAATCAATACGGCTATGTGGCATCCAACTGTGGGGTTGTGCCAAAAAGACTTACATTAACAAAATTCAAACATTCTAGAATAAAGTTTTACAGGGTATGATAAATGCGCCATGGTATATACGTGAACATGGTATGAGCAGTGAAATCCACAACGCCTTAGAAATTTCTTTGGTTGTAGATGAAATTAGGAATTGTACTAGAAAGCATAGGGCTCTTCTAGAACAGCATGTAAATATAGAAGCAGCTGGACTACTAGACGGCTGCTAGTTATGACAGAAAGACTTAAACGAACAAGACCTTTCGATTTAAAACAATATACGAATTTTCTTATGGACAGCTAGTTATGACAGAAAGACTTAAACGAACAAGACCTTTCGATTTAAAACAAAATACGAATTTTCTTATGGAAGGTATATAATTCCTGTACGGAACAACCAAGTTAGCGCAGAGGTAATAGACTTATCCGTTCAGATTTTAGCTGAATTTTTTAGGAGTCACGCCCCCCACTTAGGATCGTCCTTCTTCGCCATCCGAGATTTTTTACCTAGTAGAAAAAAAACAGCTTTAATAAAATAAAATTTTGGCACGTCGAAAAATAATGTTGCCATTGCACATTCATACGAATTCAAATCTCTACGAGTTTTACTCAAAAAGTTTACATGCGTAACTTAGTTTGAAATTCGCAGAATTCTACGGGTGAAATTCACAATGAGGAATCTCAATAAATATTTAGTTTAAATATTTTATGTGATCTTTTAGTATAATCTTTTACCTTCCTATTCTAGTTTATACAATTTTTTTTTAAATAATGTATATAGGGTGTTATTGGTGTACAACAAGATATACCATTGGTTTAAGGGTCGAAAATGGGTAAAACTTTTGTTCAGGACTAGGTACTAAAACTCGAAAATTTTCCAGTTACAGGGATTTTATGTAAGAAGAAATCTAGATCTCTAAATATGGGGAGAAATATTTTGGGCGATGCTTTTCATCCTTTCGACATGGATGATATTTTTTGTTCTGAATATATGTACATGATTATAAATATATCGTAAAATTTTTATTTCGTAAAAAAATAATACATTATGCAAAAAAATTACTTTTCAGGTTTAAAAAAAACTTTTGATAAAACAGATCAGCTTTTCAATATATTTTAAATGGCTTGAAGTTAGTTGGATTCAGTAGTTACTATTGAATTAGTAATAGTTTTCTTTTGAATATTAGTTTTATACTGAATTACACACATTTTATTATAAATTACAGTAACTACACTTACATTTTAATAATTTTTTGACTTCCTTATTTTCTATTATTTATTTTAAAACTTAACTGAGAATGGCTACTGATAATAAGACTAAAACTAGCTAAGAATTATTTACGAACAATGTGATTTTTGGTAGAATTTCCCTATTAACACGTCCCGTGTGCACACATTTGTGCTTTAAATTGAACTTCAAGAAAATCCCGTGTACACATATATGTGCATTTTGTTGAATTTGAACTCAAACATCTTTATAAAATAAGATAAAACGCCTTTATAAAATAATTTTCAGCGATAAGGCCAAAAAATTTGTTAGAAGGAATTGTCGCGTCTGTTCTGCGCATAAAATAAGAAAACCAAGTGCTTATATGTGTAAATCTTGTAAAGTAGCATTACATGTTGGAGAATGCTTTCAAAAATATCATATCAATAAAAAATACTAAAACGTTTAATTATCCATGTACCAAAATTATTAAAATATATTATCATTTTAAAAACTATTGAATTATATATTACATAATTTCTAATTGGTTACAATTTTAATAATTCGAAGTTATTTTGTTCAAGTTTCTGAATCTAAAAAGCATTTCAAATGAAATATTTTTTTTTTTTAATTTGCCCCGGTACCAGAGGAAAATTTTTTAGAAATATCGCCGAGAGATAATGTGTTAACATTCGTTCAAAAAGGAATACGAAAGTTACGAAATTTCGAAGGCATAATTTATTTGTAACTTTTGACGCTTAATTTGAAAAATTTTCGAATTTTGAAATACCTTTTTTGTATTATCCCGAAAAAAAGCATTACGACAGATCTTGGAACAGGCAAATAAAACCTAAGTTAGAATTGCATTTGAATCGAGACTACGACGCACTCGTTTTTAAAGTTTTACTATGGCATTAATACTGCGGTTAAACTAAATATAATAAACCTTTCTTCACTGCATTTTGGATGTCCCGATATAAGTTGCAAATAAAGTTTAATAAAATATCTGACAACTTAAAATTGGTTCATACCTTAGGATTTGACTCGATATGACATTGAAAACTAAAATAGTTATAATGAGGGATTTTTAACGTCACCAGTCAGACAAACAATTTTATTTGCAACTGAGACTCGTATGCAGTTACTAATTGTTGAAATCGGCTCTTACAGATTGCAGTACCACATCAAGCAATACAAAAAAAAACATAAATTGACAATCGTTTGTAGCAGGTATGAGAGCTTAACACTGATCAACGATTTTGTTTGCATATGACGTTTTGGAAATTGCAATACATGCTAATATTTAAAAAATTTATTTACCCAATTTTTGAGAAAAGATACACTAACAATGGAACAACTGGTGAATCTTCATGACCATAAGTAATAACTCCCATTTGAGCCAATCTTCTTCTAAAATATCGTGTGTTACGTGCAAGTTGCTTAATACGTTGGCTTCCTTCATTAGTTTTATCTAAACCCATGATAATTGTCATGGAAGATATAATTTGTTGTGCAATTGGTGGAGACATTGAAGTTGCATAGCCATGAGCATGACTATGAACTCTAAGAAAATTAATCAATTTCTAAAAAAAAAAAAACAAATACATATATAAATTCAAAATTTTATGTTTTTTTATAATTATAAAAAATACTTTGGATCCGGCAATATAACCTCCAGCACTTCCAAAACTTTTAGTAAAGGTTCCCATCAAAATATCAATATCCTTCGGATTAACATTATAATAGTCCACAACACCTCTCCCATTCGACCCCATAGCACCAACACTGTGGGCTTCATCTAAATACAAATAGGCTTTGTATTTATTTTTTAAAAATATTAGTTCCGGCAAACGGATAATGGTGCCCTCCATACTGAAAACACCTTCGACAATGACGAAAATTTTTTTATATGGTTTACCACTGCCTTGCCCGGATAATACTGCATCACGTAATTTTTCTTCTAAATCTGACATATTATTATGTTTAAATACTTTTGTGGTAGCTCCACTAAGACGTAATCCTAGTATAATAGATGCATGATTTTTTTCGTCACTTAAAACAAGACACCCATGAGATATCAATGACGGGAGGTTTAAGGCATTAGTTGCAAATCCCATACCGAACGTGATTGCATCTTCCACTCCCAGGAACTTCGCAGTTAATTCTTCTAAATGTTGATGAAGAGGCACAGTACCATTCTCGCACCGTGGACTACATAAAGCCAGACCCCATTTTTCGATTTGTCTTGCAGACTCTTCAGCACCTCTACCTTCAGATGAAGCGAATCCTAAATAATTATAGGATCCCAAATTAAGGCACTTAGTTTGTGTACCTGTAAATTCAAAAGACCACCCATAATCATTAGTAATTCTGTCCTTTAAAACAACTTCAGCACCAGGTACGCTACAAATTGGACGATTCCAGCAATCTCTAACACGCCTGTACACATATCGTGAGTAAAATAGTTCAAAAGGATCATATAAGGGAACGTAACCCTAACACCAAATACATTATCATAAAATCATATACGCATTTAACACATCATACTTATAAATATATATACATATATATATATATAAATATACATATATATATATATATATATATATATATATATATATATATATATATATAAATATACATATATATATATATATATATATATATATATATATATATATATATATACATATATATATTTATATAATAATATATGTACATATATATAATATATATATGTATATACACATGCATAAATTTTTTTTTTTACTTTTAAATATACTTACATCCCGACATTTTTCTTTAGCTACTTTAGGTGCAAAAAGTAATTTGTTTATGAAACCTAAAATCATTAATATGTAAAATCCTAAATAGGTCAAACAAGCCGTGTGGAGTGGAACTTCCTCAAAAGATTCTTTGTCGCTCGAGTAACTTATAAATTTTTCTTGATTGCCAGAATTATGGCAGCAAATTTTTGGCCCCTAAAAGCATATATCAGATAAATTGGCAAAAGGTTAAAAGTGTTCTCCCAGGGTTAACGAACAACTGCACATGTATATATGCATTATGTATTTTCTTTAACTTTTAGTTCACTTACCTTAGTGGAAATTGCTGGCATTTTTTTAACGAAATAAAAATATTTTCTCACAAACCGGAATTTTTAGGTCTGTATTTAATATTTTAATCGTCTTTTTCAAAATTAGGCCTCTTGAAGCTGTCTTTATGATATTAATTTCATTATTCGCAGAAACTTATATTCTTTAGACTAACTGCAATTCTAAAGCATTACTGAACAACTGTAAGCTCAAGTTTACAAAATTTCTTACTTTCCAAACTAATGGTTTAACCTAGATATGTGTCATTCGCGAACGAACTAAACTTAAAGAACGAATCAATTCACTTAACTTAGCGGATTAGTTCATTTCTTCAAAAATGAATCGTTCATCGTTCACTAAGAAATCCAATTCTCTTTTTTAGTTGGTAATTGATATACGTTTTATATTATTCCTTATTTATTTCTATATTATTATTACACAATACAAATAAAATTGAACGATATACTAAATCTAAACAAATAAAAACGAACGATGTACTGTCATTATGCAATATTGATAAAAGGAAATAAGAGATAAAATAAATTAAATTCTACACACACAAAAGTGACCGAATCGGTTGCTATAATATAAATACAACACAAGTGAAATTGAACGATATACGATTATACAATACAAATAAAAGTACTGTATAAAACGAGACATGAAGTGTAAATGAAATCCAATACAAATAAAATTGAACAATGTACTAAATAAATATAGCGTACTGCAATACAAATAAAGACGAACAAGAACTGATCAAATATAAATTAAATCCAAATAAAATGCACGAATTTACGTCACACGTGTTTATTGCCTAATAAAAATTCAATTTAAATAAAAGTGACCAAATTAAAAATCTTTATAAATAAGAATATTGAAAGATTGGACTAGTTAACCCAAATTGAAAGCTACCTGTATTAAATAAAAAAATGGAAGCCTTGAACTGGGCTGCCATATGTCTTACATTTTTCCATAAAATATTTAAAAAAGTATAATAATTATGATCTATTTTTTACATAAACATTTTAAATAAGAGGAAAATCTAAATCATTATAAGTTAACATTCTAAGGCATTGGGGATTAAAATAAAAGTAAATTAAACAATAGTTTAGAATAGGATTTCAGTTTTTTTTTCAAGGATTAAAAATAAAGATAATTATAATTATTTTTATTCTTAATATTTCTTATAAGGAATAAAAAATTTAAACTCAAATGGTTGAAAATTTTTAGTTTTCAAATTTAAAAAATTACTTATAATATCAGTTTTTTAAGTACAAGTTTTCATAAAAAAGTTTTAAACTGTTCTCTACGTTTTAAATGTTTTGGTTTATATAAGTAGAGACATTTTGTGGTTCAAAACTTATTAATTTACAAAACTCATTATATATTCCTTTCTTTAAAATTAACCATAAATACCAAGAAACATGCAATTATATTTACAGAAGGGAAGTGAACGAAATGAACGATTGAACGAGATTTTATAATCGGTCATTGAAAAAAAGTAGTTCGTTCAGAACGAATTACTGAAATGAACGATATTGCCCATAACCAGTTTAACCCAGCATTTACACGTACAAGTTACTTGCAAGAAAGTTGCAATCTATACAAAAATTTTACTAACACATTGAAATATTTCTACTTGCTTGTTTACTTGCAGTTCAACTTGCAAGAAAATTTTGCTGCCAGTAATTTGAGCAAGTAATTTGACATATTGAGAAATTCACAAAAAAAAATTTGTTGTTTTGATTTTTTTTTTTTTTTAATTTAAAATTTTTGAATTTTATTTTGAAAAAATTAAACTTAGCAAACTTATGGTTTCTAAAATTTATAAACAATTATATATATTGCTAGTTGTTTTCTTCTCAAAGACATTTTCAAAAATTAACTTGCTAAACGCCTACGTCATAATAGCAAGTAATTTGACATTTCGAAAAACTAATTGACAATTAATATTATACAAACTTGCATGCAAGTAACTTGTATGTGTAAATGCTGGGTAACCCACGGCTGATAGAAATACTGATAATTGACATTTTTGCTATGTAAAGGCTTAACCACAACAAAATTTTCGATATTTTCTTGAATGTGGATAAAATTAAAACTAATACCTGAATTACATTTCATTCAAAAATATTTTACAATACTTGACATCTCACAAATACAGTTTATTTAAATTATAATTTGTATTATTATAAAACAAAAGTACGTAAATAAACCGTTTGCAACGCTAAGGGATAATGCTCTGAGATATAGACTCAGGTGTATGTTTAAGATCAGCGTCGAATTCTGAGTTGATTTAGCCGTCCGTCCCAGCGATAACTCAAAAACTAATTGAGCTAAGTTCACCACAGTTTTACAAATGATTTGTTGCAGTAAGTGCCAGAACCCTATTTAAATTTGACATGAATGGGGTACTGGTTCTGGTAGCTGTCATACAACTTCAAAAGTTATTTGGCTTTATCTCGGAAACTATAAAAGCTATGGTATTGAAATTTCACACAAGCGAATATATTAGCAGGGCCAATGTGTTTGATAAAGGTTGTTGAAATTGCTTGGCTCCTATTGGTATCTGCCATACAACTTCAAAAGTTATTTGGCTATATCTCAGGAACTATAAAAGCTATGGTATTGAAATTTCAAACAAGCGAATGTATTAGTAGGACAATGTGTTTGATAAAAATCGTTGAAACTACTTGGTTCCTTCTGGTAGCTGCCATACAACTTCAATAGTAGTTTGGCACACACAGTATTTTGAAAAACACATTGTACAACTTAAAATCATAGTCTGTTCCATAGTCAGTTATGGCATATTTATTCGCACATAGGATAACAAATTCGGCACGGATATCATTGACCTTGTCAACTCTATTTTTTTTGGTTTTTTTTTTAATTTGTCAGTTTGCATGGTGAATCGTCTTTACCGCATAGTTTAACAGCTACAAAACATATACATGTCTATTTTCCGACCTTAACTTTTGCATTCAAAGTTAAAGATTTCTTAAAGAAATTACTATAACAAAGCTCACATTGTTGAATATAGCAAATTAATATTAATTTTTGGTTAATCTGTACAAGATTACTTTGTATAATTATTGTACAAGACGACTTAGTATAAAAATTCTACCAGAAATAACTAAGCAGACTTAGTATAAAATTCTACCAGAAATAACTATGTATGTATACCGAAGCCCAATTTTTCAGAAACTAAAAATTAAAAAGGGGCTTTCCTTCTTTTGAGCACAAAATAAACATTAAAACAATAACAAAACGTAGAAAAAAAGTAAAAAAAAATGAAATTTAATATTTTGAGGATTTTAAAAAAATAATTAAATAATTTTAAAAATGATGTTGATAAACTTGATCCTAATGATGTTGATCATTTTGTCTTCCATTTATTTCCATTTCATTTGTTCAAATATTATGACAAAATGTGTACATATTAACGCAGTCAATACTTTTAATAATAGGGAAAAAACATAGTGTTCTTTTGAAAAAAAAAAATGCTGAAAATCAAATCATATTAACTAAATAATTTAAAGTTTTTAAAATTTTTAAATTTTTAGAAAATTTTTGAATAATATATTTATAAGTATGTTTGTGTTTCTCATATACGCACACAAAGAAATGCTTTTTATTAAGGTTTTTGAAGGAAAATTTCTATTTACCAGTTTTTTTAAAAAGAATATTGGTTCACGTCAGAAATTGTAATTTTAATATTTGATTTTTGTACCTACTTGAATATTTTGCAATATTTTCTACCTCACATATTTTGTAATTTTCAGTATATTTTTCTTAAAAACTGAAAAGTAAAAATTTGCCATCCAAAAAAACTGAAAAATAGAATTTAAAAAGCTAAAAAATTGAAAAATAAAATGTTCACGTGTTTTTGTATGAATTCCTAGGTCTCTAAAATAGTTTCTGATTCTACTTTAAGAGGTTCGATACATTTTGGGAGCATTTTTTTTTTGAAGTTGAATACATTTTAGTTTTTACTGAGTGGGAACACTTCCTGCATGTTGTATGTATTCTACTTGTTTTTTTTTTTAACTTGAATTTTCACACCACGTTTCGTCCGTTTTTCCCTCATACTGAATTTGTAGTTTTTTAGTTATGAAATTTCACACTAATATAATCAAAAACTTATAATTGAATACAAAAAATTCTATTAGCTAAAAGAGTTGAACATTATTATGTAACAGGTACATTACTTATTAATTAAACAACTAAACGTTGTATTAGTAATTCAGTATATAAGTGTAATAACACAATACCTATTTATATATATTTCTTGTGAGTGTGTGTTTCAAATAGTAGATTGCATGTAGCATCTCAATGTAAACAATACTTGGTAATCATGTGGATTACAATATAAAGCAATGTGTAGATTATAAAGCAATTACTTATTACTTAAACAATTACACGTTGTATTAGTAATTACGTATTCAAACATATCTGTGGTTACATTTTTTTTTTTATATCAGACATCCATTGCTTAGATCAAGCATTAAGCATATCGCCAACATGCGCAAAAAAAAACATCATCTAGTCGCAACTATGCAACATACGGATCCATAAATTCTAGCCCACCTCATTACGAAACCTAGCTTCAATTAGCCCTACTGACGATCATATTCAAATAAGCACCAAAATCCAGCTTGCGATCGAACATAACCCCAAGATCATAAAAAATGCTCACCCTCTCCAATACCACCCCACCAAGGCAATAGTCATGCCGGGCAATAGAAGACTCCCTCCTCCGCAAAAAGTTCATGACCTGAAACTTTCCAATGTTAAGTTCCAAGCCATTTACCCGACACCAGTCCCAAAAAACATCCAAATCCCTCTATAATTCTAGACAATCAACCGCTGACCGAACCGTCCTCACAATCTTGGAGTCACCTGCAAAACTATAAAGCGCGGAATTCACAACAGAAGTATGGAACCCAAAAGACTACCCTGCGGAACACCCGACCCGGCACAGTAGATACCAGACAGAGCAGAACGAAAAGAAACCTAATAAAATCTGCGAGACAAAAAATCTGCAATGTAGATCCACATTAACCGCAAATTCTTTAACGTCAAAATTTTGATTTTAGTCTGCAAACTGTCTGAAACTAAAACTTTTACGGACAGAAATCTAGTAAACTTTTTACCCGTAATTGACTTTGAATTTTGATCATCCGTAAACGTCAAAACAAAAAAAATTTTTTTTTTAGATTTAAAATAATTTTATACTTACATATTAAAAATTAACAATAAAAATATTTTTTATATTATTTT